AGAAACATTTTCAAAGGCATTTTTCATATCCTTTTGAAAAAAAATCTTTAATTCTAATGAGGCAGTTCTATCCTATTACACACTTCACTTTTTAAATGTTCAGTTAACATGTTTCCAAAACTGTACATTAACTGTAATTCAATGTAAAAGCAAGACTGAGGAATCCTCAGATATAAATGAACACACAAACCAATAGTGCTTTATTGCATAATATCATCCATAGCATCACTATGCCTGTAGGATCTGATACATGTGTCTACAGCAGTGGTGAAATCCAAATTTTTTTATTACCGGTTCTGTGGGTGTGGTGTGGCTTGGTGGGTGTGATGGGAAAGATACTGCAAAATCTCCATTCCCACCCCACTCCAGGGGAAGGATACTATAAAATCCCCATTCCCTCCCCACTCCTGGGGGAAGGATATTGCAAAATCTCCATTTCCACCCCATTCTGGAGCCAGCCTGAGGTGGTATTTGCCAGTTCTCTGAACCGCTCAAAATTTCTGCTACCAGTTCTCCAGAACTTGTCAGAACCTGCTGGATTACACCCCTGGTCTACATGCACCATATATAGCCTAAATTAAAAGAGTAAACAGCAAACCTATATAGCAGAATGTTAGCAGCATGAAATGCAACCAAATCCCAGCTGTCAGGAGAAAAGCCTTTTCTGCCATGGCTCCCACCCTCTGGAACATTGTGCACCTCAAGGTGATAACCGACCCAACCCGCTTGGCCTTCTGGAAAAGCATTAAAACCTGATTTTGCTGTTTGGCCTGGAGTCCCATTGGGGTTGTGTTCTACAGAAGGTTGTTAGAGATTAAGACCACCATCCCATTGGAAATTGGTTCCTTCCTTAGCAATAGCACTTAGACTTATATACCACTTTACAGCCCTCTCTAATTGGTTTACAGAGTCAGCATATTGCCCCCAACAATCTGGGTCCTCATTTTACATCCTTGGAAGGATGGAAGGCTGAGTCAACCTTGAGCCAGGTGAGATTTGAACTGCCAAATTGCAGGCAGCTGGCAGAAGTAGCTTGCAGTACTACATTCTAACCACCGCGCCACATGGCTCCTTAGCTATCTATTCATTTTAATATTAATGTTTATTCTTTCATTGTTTTATATCACGGGTGTCAAACTTGCTGTGTCACATTGCCATGTGATTTGTGATGTTTTTCCTATTCACGTACCTGGGGTGGGCATGCCTGCGCTTAACGCATCCGGCCCATGGATATATATTGTTATTTTTATCTAAGTAAGCTGCATAGAGTCACTTGATGGCGAAATGGGCAGCATGTACATTTAATAAATACATCTGTTACTTAAACAGAGAGGAGATAGCTTGCAGTCATGCTAAGAGTGTGGGCAACATATGGTTAAAAATCCATGATGGATTTGAAAAGTTGCAAATAATTGTAGTGCAGACCATGATCATTTTCCCTTTTGGACAGAAGGACAATGCAGGGTTAAAAATAATACCATCTTAATTAAGGAAACATACTTCCCTTCCCCTCCTCAGAATTACCCTTTTCCTGGGTTGTCTAGCTGCATGCTGCTTTTCTTCCTGTCTGTTTGCTAAAGAAACAGAATGAAAATATTGTCATTTATAGACATTTTGCACCATTATTTGGTTATCTACTTTTTTGTATACTGCTAATTATACCAGTCACTGCACAGATAAATCTTCCATAGCTTAAACTCTTTGCGATGGACTACAATTTCTATAAACTAAAATGAGCATATTAATGCTTCTCAGGAGTAACAAGAGATTGTCACACAACTCATCTAGGAAAGCTGAGAGTTTCTAGGGGAGGCATGGTGAAATGAAGACATCTCCATGAAAGAGGAACTGATGACTGTGGCAAAGATTAGAGAACTGGTGAGAAAATCGGCTTCTTCAAACCTCTCTGGACAAGAAGACAGGAGATTGCCCACATGTACTTTGGATGGCTGTTCCTCAGGAGGAGATGCAAGATAGCTGTCTTCCATAGGATTGAATGCTAAGAGATGACAGGATTAGCCATCTACTTCACAATTTTGGTAGAGCACTTTAAAGGACACAGTCCTCACTTTTTTAATCACTTTCAGAAGTCGCCCATTAACCATTTTAAAGCTATTAGAGACCTTTGGAATGACAAGTTTAAAAAGTCTTTGGATGAGTTTAGCTTCAACAAAAGAAAAAATAATTGTAAACTTAAGAAACTGAAGCATTTGAAATCAAAAGCAAAAGTCTAATAAGATTTTGATATAAGAAACTTAAAAATGGATTAAAGGTCAAGATAATTTTAGATTATTGACTTTTAGTATAAGATTTTTACATTAACTATAAAATATAAATAGCTTTTTGTGGGAACAAGAAGCTATCTTGGTTCATAACAAACATAAGCAACTTTATGACCTTAGAAACTAGACACTAGAGAAGACTAAAAATTCTAAGTAGAAGAAAAAAAATATAATCCAGTTTTTTGTGTTGGTTAACTGGGACTTACAAAATGAGACAAAACATCATAACATTGGAAATATGAAATATCTTTGAAAAATGAAGCCAGAAATAGGTAGTTAAAATAGTGTCAGTAATGATGTCTGATTCTATGGATAGATTATGTCCAAAAGATGCCAATGAGTGAATGGAAGATATGAATCAAATTTTGTCTGACAAGACAGAAAGTGCCAAAATTGGAACTATGCATAATGGATCAAGATAGTTACTTGGAAAAGGACACATTTATTTATTGATCAAATTTATAAGGTTGCCCATCTCATAAAAAAAGGACTCTGGGGCAGCATATAACAATCCAATAAAACAATATTTTTGAAAACATCATTATCTTACATTATTATAGTTATTAAAATTTAAAAAACTATAAAAGCAGAAGTAAACAAAAATTGGATATACCAAAAAAATGGTCTGAAGTTTTAAAAATTAAAGGAGAAATACAAATGAAAAACCAAAAAAAAAATGAGCTTGAATATTTTTCTTGTTGGTTGTACAAAAAAGTCTTGTTTAAATGCTTGTGCATGTGCAGAAGCATAGAATTAATATAGGATGCTGGTTTTATTTGGCGATTATTTGCAGTCTTTAAGGCTTTTCTTTAAGGTTCACTGTTAAAATGTTTAAACCCTCTGTGTCACCGGACCAAGAAGAATTAAAGAAAAATCAAATCCTATCACAAAATTTGAATAAAACTATTAAGACTGTTAGAAGTAAAAGGAAGGAATATAGTATTGGTTTATCTGATCATAATTAAAATAAGACATTTATTTGCAAAATTCTGGCAACCCTTTAGGGACTTTTTGCTGACACCAGGATTGAAAAGTTGATGTTCTATGGATATGTTTCTAGATTAATGATGGGATATGGGATGAAGGGATATCTGATTATAACCTGATAAAGGGCGAGGAGTTAATTTGTCTATCCTTATTGTAATGAAGGTTGGAAATCAGACCAAAAAACCAAATCTAATAGCCACCCATTCTGGCGAAGGATGACTTTCTGGGGAAAAAAATGGCTAACGTATTAATCATCAGTATCTCAGAATGAGATGAAAGCTTCCTCCTTCCCCCTCTAATTGCCAACAAGATATGTAGAAATCAGACATTTCATTCCCAAAGGATCCCATGCAAAGATCCCTGATTAGAAGGCTTAGCAGATGTGGAGGATGTAATATAGCCCTAATCTACAAATGAATGTCCAAATGATGCAGCTACTTAATGGGGCCTTAAATAACACCCATGTTTATGTGTTTGCAGCAAGATTTATTTTATTTATTTATTTAGAAAATTTATACTGCCGCCTACTCGCACATGATGACTCAAGGCATCTTACAAGGACATAAAAACGTAATATAAAAGAAATAAAATTAAAAAAATAAAATAACCCCCCCCCAAACCTGGTACAGCACACATTCATATCAGCCATTTAATGGGCTCCATCCCACTCTGGGTTCCCCAGGCCCACTAGCAAACCACATCTTCAGGGCTTTCCAAATGAGTGTCAGAGTAGGGGCCAGTCTAATCTCCGAAGGGATGATGTTCCAGAGAGAGGGAGCTACCACGGAGACGGCCCTTCTTCTGAGTCCTGTCAGATGTATCTCCTTAAGGGACAGGACTCGCAACATTCCTTGCCTCCCCATTCTAGTGGGTTGGGTAGATATGACCAGCAAGAGATAACCTGGTCCCAAGACACAAAGGGCTTTAAAGGTGACCACCAGCACCTTCAATTTCACCTGGAAGCAACCAAAGCAGTTCCAGCAGGAGAGGTGATACATGTGCACACCAAGGTCTGCACAAAAACCATGTGGCCCACTGCATTTTACACCAACTATTGCTGAGCACATTGTAAGCCGCCCTGAGTCTCCGGAGAAGGGCGGCATATAAATCAAATTTTTTAAAAAAAACAAAAACTGGAGCAGTGGTGGGTTGCACCGGTTCTATAGAACCGGTAGTAAAACAGGCAAGAGCTTCCGCCCACCGACTCCGACGTCATCAGAATGCTTCTGCGCGGTGCAAAAGAGCGCGCACAGACCCATTGCGAACCAGTAGTAAAGGTAAGTAGAACCCACCCCTGAACTGGAGGTTCCAGATGTTTTTCAGGGGCAAGGCCACGTAGAGCGCATTGCAATAGTCACCGCAGGAGATGACTAGGGCACAAATGATCATGAGTAGGGATTGTGGTCCAGGAGATGATGGGCAGCATCCCACTCTCACTTTGGAAAAGGAAAACCCGATCTAATCTTACTCGTTATACATCTACAGCTGCCGGTTTTCTCTTCATATGCAGCATATAGTATGATACCCACCATGCATGTTTACCCTTTAAAAGGAAAAGAAAAAAAGGAGTCACATCCATTTATTTAGAAAGAAAACGCAGCTTCCTTTCCTCCCTGGAACAGCAACTGCCAGAGGAGGCGCGGACGGCCGTTGGCGGTGGCTTTCGCCAAAGGAGCCGGCGGTCGGCTCGCTTTCCCAGGGATGCCCGCTGTTTCTGCTCAGCGGGCAGCCCCGCGTCTTCAGCCGGCGGCGCGCGGGGGCGGCCGACCGGCATACTGCACGAGGCCCGCCCAGCCCCTCCTGCTGCAGCCGCCGCACCGGCGGGGGCACCTGCTGCTGGCGCTCGTCACGCGGGCGGCGAGGTCCTGCTATAAAGTGCTCCCGCTCAAAGCCCGCCCAGGCGTCCCCCTCGGGAGAAGGAACGGCGGCGGTGGTTTGCAGCCGCTGTAACTGGTCGAAGGGAAGCTGAGGCCCGGCCGGCGCGAAGAGAGACGACGGCAAAAGATGTTTTACTCCGGGCTGCTGACCGATAGGAAGGACATGGACGTGAGGGAAGCCGCAGCCCTCCGACAGCAGAGGAGGATGAAGCAGGCCGTTCAGTTCAACCACAAGGACTCCGCCGATCTGCTGCCCTTGGACGGGCTGAAAAAACTGGGAACTTCAAAAGATACTGTAAGAATTTGGGTTTTTGTGGGGGAAAGGGGGATGCAGACGAGGGTTGGTAAAACACCGGGGGGGGGGGGGTTCGAGCAGGGTGAACTGGATGGCCTTTGGCAACCCCCGAATATTTGCAATATTTGGCAATCCCCGAATATTTGCGCTGCAATTTGGTGGGGGGTGGTGGTGGTGGTGGAAGAAATGGGGAAGGGCGAGCGGGGAAAAAGGGCTGATAGTTTCAGCAGCTTCCTTCGTGGTGGAGGTTTAAGATATTTTTTTAATGAAGCGTGTACAAGCATAATGTAAATCATGTTGACTTTAAACGGTTGATCAATCAAAGAAAGGAGGAAGAGAGGGGAAATTTAATTCTCGCAATAATTTACTAGGCTCGTGCTTCCCTCTCTCCTCATAGTACACCAGGGTCTTAAACAGCCTTTCTTGAAATAAGCTCGATTGATTTCTGCAGGAGGCGCTTCTTCTTAAATGAGTAAACAGCAATTGCAGCTTTGGAGCCCTGCTTACCTCGAAGCTTACAAGATTTTTTGGGGGGCTGGGGGCCAAAATGGCAGTTTATAAGGATGAAAGAATTTTGGATCGGGAAAGCAGTGCTGGAAAAACAGTTTTAAACTCCTCCCTTTTACATTGCTATGGCATTGATCCAGTTAAAAAAGGTGTAGATGCTTTTAGGATAAAGAAGTAATCCTGATTCTGTCACTGGCTTTAGAAATCTTATACAGAGAAGAAACTCTTTATTTAAAAAAAAACAACAAATTTTCCCCTAAAGCAGAGGATTTAGGATTTTTTTTCGTATCTGCCTCGCTTTCCACATCTTTACTATTGAAACATGCATTAAACATGCTATTAATTGAAGAACAAAATGTATTCGGCAACATATAATGATTTAAAAAGCTGAATTTTTTTGGGGGGGGGTTGATATGTCATATTTATGTTTCCAAAATTAATTACTTTATAATTGAATGTGTAATGGGATTTCACAAACTATTGCTTAAACCATCTAGCAAGAACATTTATAAATATTTTTACCTCACACTTATCTTGCTATTTTGTTAATGTCTGATTTAATTTGGTCTCAATTGCTTTAATATGGTGGTCTCAGCTGAGTTCTTGAAGATTATTAGATGACTAATGCTGGTTTAGATGATGCAAAAGTCTGACCTAATCATCTTTTTTTTTAAAATGGGGTTGGTGGTGGTAATGTAGACAACATAATAGGACTATAGTTATAAGTCCCTTCTATATTTGAAAGTCAGCTTTCAAATATTTGAGATACATACAGACAGTATATACATTTGAAGCCAGTGGGCATTGCAGCCCATGACAGTGACTATGGAGTCTACCTGTGCAAAAGTTAGAAGGTTAAAAAAAGATCTAAACAAAGGTTCCCTTTCCCCAGAAACAATTAATAAATCTATTTTTTTTTTCTTAATGAACATGAAATAAAATGGCTTCTTGTGGCTCTTTAGCTTGAGTATGGGCTCTCTTCCAGTCTCTAAGGCATAGACACAAAGATATCTTATTTTTTACTGGCTAACTTACAAATTATGAATCGGGCTTGATGACATGGTAAATCACAACAATACCTTTTGCATGGTTTATGATGTCACACTTCATGCTATACACAGCTATAGACCACCTGGATCAAATATTTGTAAGGACAGATCTGAAAGCACAAGTGTCAATTTGACTGTGGTGAACATCAATGAGTACCTTCGTGAAAAAGTACCTTGAGAAATTAAAGAAGAGGGCTAGTGTTAGTGACATTTGTCCACCACCGCTTCTGCCTCTGACCAAAGCTGATATTCAACCAGGGTCAGAAAATGAAAGAATTGGGCTTGTCAGAAACAGCATGTTCCAGAATCCCCTTATCTTAAAGTCAGAACTAGGAAGGACCCGTAGAAGATGCGCAAAGATTCCAGGAGCCAATTTTGTGTATGGCCTAACTGTACGTGGGACTGACGGAGGAGTCCCCGAAGCCATAGGGCACTGGCACGTTATGCCAACTCGTGCTATCAAAAAGAAAGAAATGCCCAAAGATTTTATTCACATGAATAGTAATGGAATTAAGGCTGGTCTTTTCACTGCAAAAGAACACCATCTATATTGCCAGCACCATGAGCTTCATTGCAAAACAACTGTTGCCAAAACCTTCCCCAAAAATGTACCTCGTCTTCCCGACGCCATGACCTATGGGAAACCATATCCTCCTCCAACGCCCATAACAGAGATCCTTCAACATAAGTTTGGTGACCAGTGGCTGCAGGAGCATCGGAAAGCTAACATGCGTCTTAAGCAGAAGAAACATTTGAAAAAACGAGAGAAAACACATGAGACCCGTATGACAATGTTGAATAAATATCAAATCCCTGTGAAGATAGATTCACAATGGCACATGCCAAAATTTCAGAAAATTGCTCGCCATCTTGACACCTTCCCAAGTCAAGAAGATAGACTGAATGCCATGAAAGCTCAGCAAATTGAAGCACCAGTTCGTCGTGGCCAGTTTGGTTGGGGCATTTATACTCATATATAGGACTCAGCTTTAGAAAGAAACAAATGACTTAATATACTTCAGTATGAGCTCTGTGCTATGATAAAAAGTTTGATGGAACCTGCCATAAGTAGCATTAAAATGAAGCTCCTTGTGAAAAAAAAAAAGAAATAGATAAGGACATGAGTGTCTCATTGCTAAACTGCTGCTATCAGATAAATAGAAAGAATGGAATTCCTGACTGTCACCTAAAGGATGCATTACACCATTTGAGGATGGAATGTTGGTACAACATCACAGGTTACTATAAAGCAACTGTCAATGTGTTTTAGCTAGAAAGCTTGTATAGTCTTTTTACCTCCAGTCTTATTTGGAATATGAACTCTCAGTGAAAAGGAAATACTCTCCTATATTAAAATAAATAAAATAGTAAAAAAATGTTATTTTTTTCTGGTTTAAAAGAAAGCAGAGGATATTGCATAAATACTAGTAGGCTATACCTAATGTTAATAGAGGAATAAAATCATATTTTTTTCTTAATATTTATAAAGCCCAAGTGATATGCATAAATACTGGATTTTCTAGTGATTAATCTGTGAGTACAGATTTCAGAATGAATTTTCTCTAAAAAGATAAAACATGAGAGAATGTGACTGGCATAATCCTTTTGTTTTTACCAAAGAAAAAAAACCTACTTGTTTGGAAACTACCATCCACTACCTCTCCTGAATCAATTTTCGTCTCCATTTATTTATTTCTTATTTCCTGTAGGTTTTGTAAAACTTCCAGAAGTTCTGGACTAATTTATGAGAAATTTCTTTTTTTCTAATGCACGATGGATAAACTGTTTTTATATTACCATGGATGCATTCATATAATTTAAAGTTAAGATGCTTGTATATAACTTTACGTTAGTAGCTATTGATATTTACATCTGCAAGGAACTTGGAATTGAAATGTCAAAAGTGCAATTATAGAGGATGTGGAACATGGAGAACAACAATGTTGGTTTGATCTTGTCAAATTTGATTACTTGTACTAAGTATGATGAAGCTATAGCAGCCATCTATAATCAGTCTTTCAGCAGGGATGGACTTCGACTACAGAAATGGCCTTCAAAGAAAGACTTAAAGTAATTTTTGCATTACTGTACATTCAAATTTACAACAATCCCCAAGCCAGCAATTCAGTAAAAAACAATAATAAAACAATTGAAATTTAATAATTGATTCTTTAACATTAACACTTTGCAAAAAAGATGGTATTAATATCTGAGAATGGATTAGGGAGAGTCACAGATACTCTTTTTCCTATATTCTGAATCAGTGCATGGAGGTTAAACTAAAGACAGGCTGGAAGCCCTGTGCAAAGCTATTTACTCTAGACTTGGACAACTGCACAGTATGAATTAATTACGCTACCCTTTCAAATGTTGCATGACTAGTTGTTATTGGAATTGGCTTGATGTATCCCTGGTTCGTCTTTACCTTCAGATTTGTAAAATGGCTGTGTTAAAAGACATTTAAAATAAATACCTTGCAACTTGCTATGTGAAGGGGAACTGAGAGGCCAATAGTAATATATTTAAAGTGGCAAAACCTAGAGGCAGTGATATATTCAATGGGGTGCTGAAATAAGAATGGGCAAATCCATATTGTTTGAAAGTAAGAGCAAGGATTTTCAAAAACTAAGGAACTAAGGAAAAAGGGAAAGAAAATTTTGATCATTTGGCTGAGGAAGCTGCTTTTTCATTCCACATTGATAGAGAATGTACCATGTTGCCTGTTATCAACTTTCTTACCCAGAAGGATTGGTGAAAGAGTTTACCTAGTTCCTGGTACGTTCTTCAGTCTTGGATATCCCTCCTCTTACATCCCATCCCCCCATCCCCCCAAATTTACAGTATCTCTTAAAATTATTCATTTTTGCAGTGGCTGTTCTCAGAGTTCTGCACAAGACTACAAATGCAATAATTCAAGGTATAGTGTATTACCAGAAAAACAGAATAACAAGGTTGGAAGGGACCTTGAAGGTCTTCTAGTCCAACTTATTAATTAAGGCCTCAGAAGATGTTTTCTGAAAAGGCTTTGAGAACATTTCATATCATGTGGAAGGGGCAGTACATTACAGAGATAGGCAAGCTTAGCACCAAGCTTGTATTCTACCTGGGAGAGAACAAGGATCCCATGCATGTGCATTTGAAAGAAAGGCAGAAGGGAGCAAGCTGAAATTATGAGACTCAGATCATCCCAAAGGTGCTTTTTCAAAAGGCAAATGGACTTCAGCACTGAAGAAGCTTCTTGGATGAGAAGTGAAACGTCTTCAAAGAAAAACCAGAAGGTCCAATTGCCTCTTAAAAAAGCACCTTTGGGACAACCATGATCGGGATGACTAAGAATCTCTACAGACATTGAGTCTCATAAATCAGAGTTCCTCAACCTTTTTGGTTTTGCAGATCGGTAGGTGGGGGCAGAGGGGATAGTGCGGGGAAGCATGCACACAGCTCTATTTGTGTGAGCAGCGGACACACATGCCCACTGCTCATGCAAATGGAGCACACATGCACAGGCTCACCCTCTGTGGACCATGGCCTGGGGGTTGGGGACCCCTGTCATAGATAAAAAGCAGACTGTTCAGAGTAAAGCCTCAACTATTATACTGGCTGCCCCATATGGTCAATGGATCATGAGGTGCTAAGCAGTCAATGCCACAGAAGCCACACTTCCAATACTTACAACTTGCTGAGCCACAAAAGTACATCAGTTTCCAACACTATGCGAACATAGTACTTTATGCAGATCTGGTTAAGCATGCTGAGTGAATACAGTCTATAAGGAGTTTCAACGAAGAATACAATACTTGAGATTTTAGAGATGACAATATGAACAATGATAGCATAGAAATTAAGGTTGTATTGGGGAACCATCTACTGTGTTTCCCTGAAAATAAGACCCTGTCTTATATTTTTTTGAACCCTGAAATAAGCGCTTTCAGGGTCCTTATTGCCATGCGGTCAAAAGCCCAATTGGGCTTATTATCAGGGGATGTCTTATTTTGGGGAAAACAGGGTAGAAACAACTGTGAGCCCACTCCTTTCACATATTCAACAGAGATGATTTTTTTTGGTACAAATGACCTTTTCTTTATCCTATAATGTAATTATAAAACTGTGAACTATTAAAGCAAAGATTGCCCTCTTATTTTTTTTTTCATAGTGATTAGCGTTATTTGCTAGATATTTAATTTGTTGATTTCCAGCATAAATTCAAGAAGGCATTAATCTTGCCTTAATTAAAATGTCCATTTTCTCCCAAGGTTAATTTTAAGGGGAAAAAACATAGTTATCAAAGAAGTGTAATTCTTTAGAAAAAAAATATATAGATACTGGAAATATTCTGTGAAATTCCTATGTTTAATTGGCAAGGAAGTTAATGCAGATAGAAAAATAAATATATTTCTATATTTAATATGAATAGAAAATTGATAATAGTATTAGAGGAAGACAACACTAACATATGTAAAATCATACTGCTTACTTATAACAAGTTTTATTGTACTAAATTTAATTCAATACATTGGGAAATGTGTTGGTACCGTGTTTCCCCGAAAATGAGACCCTGTCTTATATCTTTTTGAACCCTGAAATAAGTGCTTGGCCTTATTTTCGGGGAGATCTTATTATTTTGGGACACGTGGAGCAAGACAGGGCTCCTCTTGCCATCTTATCTGATTTCCAGTTCTGTCTCCCTAACCCTAACCAGAGGAAATGGTGGGGACCGGCTGCACATGTGTTTAAATATTTTTTGGAAGGGCTTATTTTTGGCCGGGGGCTTATTTTAGCACATGCGCTTAAAAGCCCAATTGGGCTTATTATCAGGGAATGTCTTATTTTTGAGGAAACATGGTAGTAATTAAAATATTAAGTAGTGATGGAAGGTTAATTGTCAGTGATTGGATAGTGCTTGGAGTTGCCTATCTGGAAGCAGTTTATATTAATGCATATATCATTTTTTCCTTCCTTTTAGTGGGTCGTTGTCTGAAATTTCTGGACAGATGTAGTTCATTGTGCCTTCTATTATGTGGACATTCGAAGGACACTTTAAACCCTTAGATGGCCAAGAGGGGGCCATTTAGGAATGTTTCTATATAATGACATAATGTATGAACCACCATTCTACTTCTTGTAGAGGCATAATTAGCAAGATAGGGAATACCTAAAGAGTCTTAATGAGTGTGTCTACTTTAGTGAATACTGTAATGTTAATTATAATTGCAATAGGACCATAAAAATTCTAATACTAATTCAGTACACAAAAGACTACTGAAGCATCATCTGTTTTCCCAAACATTTACTTAAATGGATGTGAATTACAAAATTTTCAGGACACAGAAAGATACACTGTTTTGCTTTAATCTCATAAAGTAGAAAAGGGTACACGTGCATTTGCTCTGCTGACTATTATATTGAATCATGTTTAGGTTTGGAAAATGGAAGCTAAATCTGCCCTGTTATTTTATTAATAGTTCCACAGCTTTATGAACAATAACGGGACAAATATTAAACCCAACAGAAATAGTTTCAATTACCCTTCTCCAACATGATGAACTGCTTGGTCATGCTAACTGGGGATTCTGGAAGAAGTCCTGTTTTCAAAGGAATGAATATTAGTGCAGGAGGGCTGGATATTACAGTAGTGGCTGAAATGCATAACTGGATACGAATTTAGCGTCTAGTAACTATAATAGGAATAAAAATAAAATAAAATGGATTGGATGGATGGATAAACAGACACACGGGATTTTTTTTTATGCAACCCAAGAAGCATGTAAGAGTACTCCTTAATGGCTAGAAGATGAATACTTATAAATTAAGAAAGCTCTTTGCTCATCTTTTAACCAAAAAAGGCAAGTTCTCTTTTTTCTGTAAATGCTGCAAATAACTAAATAGGCCCATTACTGCAGGTATCTGGTATCCTTGTAAACCTTGTAAAAATAAGTGCTGGGGCAAAGCTTGCTTTAGAGAGCTGTCCAATCCTGCTTTAATATATCAAATGATGATATATTATAATCTCTTTGGATTTCACTCTGAAATTTCCTTCCCATAATTTAGCAAATCCATTGTTCTATGTCTTGCTCTATAGGATGAGACAAAGTAAGCTTTGAGAGGTATTATATCCTTTCAGAAACTTGAAGAATGTTCCTTATCTTTCTATAGCCTTTACCCAAAACTAAGCATTGCTGAAAATAGGCAGGCATCATTACAATGCAAATTATACACATACAGATCAATAAAGCATTTAGAAGAAATTTGTTTATTGAAGACCACATATGTTCCATGT